ATATTATGGGCCGACTTGTACTCTTATATTTCGTATAAATTTCTTTGGCATTACGTATTTATAAGTCTAGGTCATTGGTTTAATAAGATATCATAAGCTTTTCATTAATATTGCACCCACGGTCTTTCATTCCCAGGGGGCTAAATGTGTTACATTTCCGTGTAAGATACAACAGGATTTCACAACTGGCTATAACTATTGCTCGGTTTAATGCGTTGAATATGTAGGTACGAAGAGTAACAGGGTTTTGATGATTCTCCTGATATATCATTGTTGGGAAGACCTTCATTTCGTATGAACATGCGCATGGAAGAGCTTTCCAGGTCAATCTCATCAGAAGACGGCTGAAGCCCGTTGTACTACAGGCGTTTGGCTTTAATACTACGTTCAGGTTGATGCAGGTATTATAGAGCCGTATAGTCTTCTTGACCTAGTGTTAGCCTGAGACTTTTACAAGAATAAGTTCTAGCTCTGATGATGTCCATTATATAGTGGACGAAAGCCCAGCCAGTTTTCACCCGAAGCAACGGAAGATGTCTCGTGGACTGCGTCAACCTGAACATCGTATTAAAGCAAAACGGCTGCAGTACAACTGGATTCAGCCGCCGTCTTTTGGTGAGATCAGCCTTGGAATCTCTTCATGCACTTTCATACGAAATAAAGGTTTCCCTCATTGAATTTAAATCAAGTTGAGTCGGCTAGGCTGTTAACTTTTCCTTGCTTTTGTCTTACCCTACATTTATAAACAGTTTTCTAGATTGACATGGTATTAATACTATAATCTTAGTATGATATTATTAGTATTTGGCCTGTACACCTTTTTGATCATTTTGTTATTATATTCCATGTTACGATGAGAAAATGCTTATTTTGTTGATTCGTTCACTCTTATGCCAGTTTAACTTAAACTTGAACAGTGTTTTACAAACTCATTAAAAATGGCATTTTTGTTAAGTTTATGATTATAATTTTTTTCATATATTATGTTTTTCCTTGTTCGACTATGTCCCTTCATTTATCTTCTTTTACCACCAATTTCAGCCTCACCCAAAGCACTCCACTCATATTCTTGCTCAACAGCAAATGCTACAGCAACAGCTACCTCCTGGACAGTCTCAACCACTACCCTCACAACAGACCACGTTCCTACCAGCCAGCCGAGGAGTTCATGCACCACACTCTCAGCTATCACAGGTCGCACCGTCGGGACAAGCGCAAAGTTCGGTACCTCAATCTCTAAGTCATTTGCATTCACACAATCAACAACAGCAACAGCAAACCCCTCCGTCGGCGCCAGCCTCTATCGGCCTTGGGATGGGCAGGACTGGAATGCCTCCACAGCGCGGCCATATGGCCGCGCCCCCCTGTGGAATGGGAGTCAGTGGTGGAGCCAATGGGTTTATTGGCCAGCCTGTCGGACCAACTGGACAAAGCCAAGGTTCATCTAACACTTCGGTAACGGGAGCTATGCAGCCAAATGCGGACACCTGCGGCGTGATGCCTTCAGAGACAATATCGAGCTTTGGGTCTGGCCCTGGAACCATTGGCTTATCCATGCAGTCGCAGCAACAGTTATCAACAGTCACAGCCCAGCAACAACCACCGTCAGTTCATCAACGTTATATGCTATCGAACCAGTCACCTCAGTCATGCCAAATGCCGCAACAACAACAGCGGCAACAGGCTCATATGACACCAGGTCTTGGAACCTCTTCAGTTGGCAGTGCCTCTACATACCTTCCTGGACAGCCGGGACAACAGTCTTCACAACAGCAACAGCAGCAGCAGCATCAATTGCATCATCCCCACCTTCAACACCAAGCACATCATTCAGGCCAAACTCCACCACCTCCACAGCTTCAGCAACAACATCGCCATCCATCACCAGCTCAGCAGCAACACTCACAACAGCCACAATTCGTTCATCGGGGAATGGTCGGGCATAGTGGCTATGCTTCTATACCTCAGTACCCCACGGGTCCAGTGCCAACGGGCTATGCACAAGTCCCAACGATGCATCCACAACAGCAACAGCAGCAACAGCAGCACCAGCCTCAAAGACTTGGGCATCCTAACCAGTTTCCACATCGTTTCTCAACTGGGTCACAAGGTGTTTACTAACAACTGACTTTTATGCAATTTTCTGCTTATATGCAACTATATTAATCGATACACTAAGTTTACTTTCCTCCAGGGCACAACTACTTGCTATTCTTTTCTCATTAGATATTCATAGTCTAGCAGAACTTCTTTTTTACCTTTTCTTTCCAATCTCAGACTAAATTGCTATGATTCTTACATAGATGAATATTTTCTCATTTACATCGTAGCTCCTTACATCCCTTCCTTTCTCATCAATAATTGTGTCAGGTTATCCACCGAACCAATCTCAGCCTTCGCAATACGGCATGCCCGTCAAGCCAGGAATTCCCGGCCACATTGATGGTCAAACAGTAGGTATGGCTGGCTCAGGCGTGCTGGCAACAGGACCAGGTGGCCCCTGTCTTTCGGGCTCCAGTCAGCAGCCTCCAAGCGCCGGAATGTCCACCTCTTTAACATCTACACCAGGCTACCTGAGTGCTGGCCAGACATTGGGTGGAGTCGGCGTTGGCTCCGCTGTTCCTGGACAGCAAATCGTGGGTGAACCCGGTCTACTGGTATACTCTCACGGCAGTTCTACAGCCAGTGGCGTGTGTGTGAACCTACCTACGGGCATGGGAATGAGTGGTAACAGTGGCGGCCCCGTAAGAGGGCAATTTATGCAAGTGAGTGCTGCATTTGACTCCACTATTGATAAGGGTACTACGCATATGAGACAAAAGTTGTATTTGCAAGACGCAACCACGTCTACCAGACGTTCTGCACTAATTAAGCCTATACATATCGTATTTGTTTATATATTTATTCATGCATACATCCATTTGCCATCCTGTTTTCTTGTTTTTATGTGTCGTAAGGTATCTTCTGTTCTATCAGTGAGGATTGATTTGATATCTAAAATATCTAATAAATCACTAGCTAGAGAAAGTGCACTTTGTAATCAAGACCTATATATTATCGTTTATATGTAATGTCGTCGAGCTGTTACCCGTATGCTCAATCAATTTCTTTGATTATTTGGTTGAACCTAATTAATATATATATATATATATAATCTAAATGCGGGTGACGGAGATTAAGTGCACACATATGTTCAAAACAGACTTATTCACTGTTTGCCTATTTGAGACAAAGTATCTATCTGTTAAATATTTTTATTCGTTCGTGCATGTAAGTATTTGGCCCTAAGTATGACCTGTCAGATTTCATAATTTAATGTGACATGACTCTCTATTTCGAAGCGAAAGTTTGTTGGAAGGAATTCGTGACGTGGTCTCACCGGAAACCGAAGGAGGATTGTAGCGTAAGGAAGATTGTTGAATTGTGCGAAGAAGTCATCGGCTCATCATTCTGCCCGATGAAACTGTGCTAAGCTTTCTCCTGTATTGTGACAGACATCATATGAGTAAGACTCCATATTTTACGAAATAGAGCAAAAATATACTAAACAAAGAGAAGGTGGCCGGCTGCAATCTAGTCGCTTTTTATACAACTGACATCGCGATCTTAATGAGGCCTCCCATGATTTGGTTGGCTACTTCAACCTTACTCTACATGCTTGCAAATGAGTGAAGTTAACTTCCCAAACCGAAATGCATTCGATGGCAGCTATTTCATCACACAAAAACTAGCGTACGATCACCTAATGCCGAATCATGTTTAGGCTTGTGCAATTGTCTATTGTGTGTATGTAATGCTCATGTTATGTGTAGTATGATAGTCCTAGCTAGACACGAGGCTAATCCAGCCTTCTTCTCTTGCTCATTGGCTATTCCTGCGCTCCCTCTCTCTTTCCAACAGGCACAAAAAGTTTGTACTTACTTTTCTACACTCGTTCTTCTTATTCACGACGTTAGCTGTTTTGTTAATTTCTATAGACCCCTTTATTTTACGTTTTGATGTGAAGTCCTCGTAACCCGCAAAACGTTGTGCTTTGGAACAGTCTATTGAGTGTCCTCCACTGGCCATGTGTCTAGCGGGCTCAGAATTTTGGACCCACAGACCATTACAAGCGGTTTTATGTTCGCATAGTCTCATGTGAATGGGTCGGCAGGTCTCCCCCACATACACCTTACCAACTGAGCACAAAATCTTGTAACAGCCGTATCTAGAAAGAGGGTCTGAATATTCTCTAAACAAAGGATCTACTGAGGAAAG